CATAGTTCTCCCACCTTATTCTTGAAGCTGCCATGTTCATTTGTTTGTTATTCTTTGCTTCCTTCTAAAAAACAATGTCTCAGGGCACGAGAGCCGGCTCCATGGTTAAGAGCACTTACTTCCCAGCACCTACATGGAGGCTCACAACTGCCTGTAACCCCTTCTGATTTGCACAGGCCCTGTAAGCATGTTATACACATATACAAATGCAGGCACACGAGCAGGTACATGCTTGTCTGTGCTTGCAGGCACGCATACGCACATACACACACAATAAATAATAAACAGCTCAAACACTGCCTCTATTTTTTGTTTTTTGAGACAGGATTTCTCTGTCACTTTGGAGGTTGTCCTGGAACTAACTCTTGTAGACCAGGCTGGTCTCAAACTCACAAAGATCAGCCTGCCTCTGCCTCCCAAGTGCTGGGATTAAAGGTGTGTGCCACCACCACCCAACAATGCCTCTATTCTAAATAAATGAAGAGTGCAGATGTCTTAGGCTGCACTTAAGTCCTTACCCTGCATGGATATGAAAGCAGTAGTAAGTCATGGCCTCATGTGATATGACCTGACACAGTTTGGACCTGCCCAAAATGAGGATAGAATGGACAATCCGATGCTAAGACTAGATCCCAGAGTAAAGGCATCTATTTCCTGTTTTTGTAGTAAAGTCGAACACAGACATAAATAGAATCCCAGGGCATATCTACAACTGGGAATTAAAAATACATCTGTAATGCCAGGCATCGTGGTGCACACTTTTAATCCTAGCACTCTGGAGGCAGAGGCAGGCAGATCTCTGCGAGTTCGAGACCAGCCTGGTCTACAAGAGCTAGTTTCAGGACAGCCAGAGATGAACAGTGAGACCCTCTCTTGACACAAACAAACAAATAAACAACAACAAAACCCCATAACAGCTGCAAACACATCCTTTTAACCCAGCCTCCTGAAAACTTGCCTTGCCCAAATAGTCACAGCTGGCCAGGGAGCTGGCCATGCCAGCTTAGAGACTAGCCAGTCAGGATTGGACCCTGTAAGTGTGGACCCCTTTTTGTCATGAAGGGTCATGAGTGGGCACCTTTGGTGAAAGCTCTTCCTTCGTGATATACTTACTCCTCGCACTTTGGTGAGACAGACCTGTCTGGTCCTTGGTCAGAGCCTGGTCACCTAGATGTCCTAAGAATGTCCTAGATGCCCCTTTGAATCCAGACTCACTTCTGGACTCAAGAACAAGGCTCTGGTGACAGAGCCAAGGTAACTGCTCATTTTCTTAACATTCTCCCCCCCTCCCCCACAGGGTTTCCCTGTGTAGTCCTGGCTGTTCTACATACCCTGCAATCGAAGCTGATCCTCCTGCCTCCCGAGTGCTGGGATTAAAACCTGCATCACCACCACCCAGCTAACATTTTTCCTTTCTTTTTGTTGTTCTTAAATTTATGTGTGTGTGTGTGCCTGTGTGAATATGTGCACGTGTGAGTGCAGATGCCCTAGGATTCCAGAAAAAGGCATCAAATCTCCTGGAGCTAGAGTTATAGATGGTCATGAGCCACTTGATGTGGGGGCTAGGAACTGAACTCAGGTCCTCTGCAAGAGCAACTCAAAGGGCTAGAAAGATGGCTCAGCAGTTAAGAGTGCTCGCTGCTCTCCCAGAGGACGTGGACCCAAATTCAACACTCAGCACCCACACTGGGTGACTAACTCCAGCTCCATGGGATCCCACACCTTCTAGTCTCCATGGATAGCCCCACACATGTGTCATACACACAAAGACACATACACAAACACACCCACACTCACACCCACCGTGGCACATGGAGATCAGATGACAGCTTGCAGAAACTGGTTTCTCTCCTCACGTGGGCTCCAGGGATTGTACTCAGGTCCTCAAACTTGGTGGCAAGCATCCTTACCTGAGCCTCCTTGCCTACCTGACTCAACTGTCACATAATTGAGGCTTCTTTTGCAAAGCTGATCTCCTGCAGTTATGGTTCCTCTCTCTATCAACGCGGGCGATTGTTGCTCTTAGGAAACTTGGGCAGAGGAGTTCCCACCCATGATCACGTTGCACGGTTGCACCTTGCCCTCTGTCCTACTCATCATCTTGCCTTCCCTCCTCTTCAGGCACAGCCTGTCCGTGATGTCCCAGATCTTGTAAATGTCCAAGAACATCTTGAACCCAATAAAGTCATAATAGATAATCATGTTGGTGGATGGAAGATGCCCAGGATGCTGGGGGCCACGGTGGGGTTTGGTGGAAATAATGTTTGGATGTGTTGTGATGTTCTGGTTTTTCTATAGTATGTAGGGAAAGAGGGTTAAAAAGTTTGCAAAGAAGCCTTTTTTTTTTTTCTTTTTCTTTTTTTTTTATTTTCCAGTTTAAATTTAGATAAGAAACAAGGTTGCTTCACAAGTCAGTTCCAGGTCCCTCTCCCTTTCCCTCCCCTCCTTCCGTGCCCTCCCCCAATCCCCCCTCCCCCGTTATCCCCTCATTCCCCCAGGGAGGGTGAGGCCCTCCATGGGGGTGTCCATAGTCTGTCATTTCATATAGGGCAGGGCCTAGACCCTTCCCCAAGAGTTCAGGGTGAGAGTGCACCTCACATTGTTCTATGGGAGTCCAAAGTCCATGTGTATACTTGGGATGGGTACTGATCTGCTGCCCAGGGCTCAATAGATTACCTAGGCCTCCTAGAAGCCTTTTTTTTTTTTTTTTTTAAAACAGCATCTCTCTATACTTTCCACATAGTCCTGGCTTTCCTGGAACTCACTGTGTAGACCAGGTTGATCTTGAACTCTATCTTCCAGGTGCTAGGATTAAAGGCATGCACCACCACACCCAACTTCAAAGATCTTTTTAAACTAGGGATTGAACTCAGGGCCTAGCATGTTCTAGGTCCATGTTTTTACCTCTGAGCCATATCTCTAGCCCCTGTGAAGGATTAAGTCTACAATTTGCATATACTTTAGTCTTTAGAATTTATTCTTTGTGTGATGTATGGATAGTTTATCCTTTTTTACCTTCTTTACTATTATGGCGTGTTGTGTGTGTGATGTGTATATGTCAAGGACAGTCTGGGAGGTCAGAGGCAACTCTCAGGACCTAGTACTTCCTGTCCTCTGTGGCCTCTGGGGATCCAGCTCAGGTCTTCAGGCTTTCACAGCAAACATTTACCTGCTGAGTCATCTCATAGGTCCTGTTCCATGAATAGTGTGTGTGTGTTTGTGTGTGTGTGTGTGTGTGTGTGTGTGTGTTTTAGTAGGTCCATTTCTTTCTTTCCTTTTTTTTTTTTTTTTGAGACAGGGTTTCTCTGTATTGTTTTGGAGGCTGTACTGGAACTCGATCTGTAGACCAGGCTGGCCTCGAACTCACAGAGATCTGCCTGCCTCTGCCTCCTGAGTGCTGGTATTAAAGGTGTGTGCCACCAAAACCCGGCTGTAGGTCTATTTCTTATATTTTATTAGTTTAGATTTAAAACACACACAAGAAACATACACATAACTTTAGGTTAATATATGTCCATATTTATTCTTAACCTTTGTACCTTAATGCCTATTCTATTTTCTTTTCGTTATTTTGATATTCTACATATTTAATATATAGATGTTCTCTCTGTGTGTGTCTACGTAGTGTGTCTGTGCATGTACATACAGGAGCCCAGAAAAGGGAGATGGATTCCCTGGAGCTGGAGTTATAGGCATTGTGAGTCACACCGTGTGGGTGCTGGGAAGCAAGCCCCAGTCCTCTGCAAGAACAGTAAGCAAGTGCTGAAAGCATTTCTCTATCCACTCGTGCACACGTGCGCACACGTGCATGCGTGTGTGCATGTGTGTGTGTGTGTGTGTGTGTGTGTGTGTGTGTTAGCTAGTCTCACGGGAGTTCAAGGTTCAAGTTGGCCTTGAATGTCTGATCCTCTTGAGTCTACTTCCTAAGTGCTGGTATTGCCAGTGGGTGCCAACTACTGTCACAATTATTGTTTTTAAGTCACTATTGACAGTCCCTAGTTTATTTCATTTGCTTTTATTTAGCTTTGTCTGGGCTTTGTCACATAAACTTTTGTTTTGTTTTTTGTTTTTTCCCCAATATATATTTTTATTTAAATTAGAAACATGCATGCTTCACATGTCAATCCAGCTCCCTCTCCCACCCCTCCTCCCCTACCCCTCAACCAGCCCCTTCCCAGCCCCACACCCAGTTCCCACACCATTTCCCAGGGAGGGTGAGACCTCCATGTGGAATGGGCTCCTAAAGTTCATTCATATGACATGGTAAACACCGATCTTCTACCCAAGGCCCCAGAGATTTCTGAGGCGTCCTCACTGACACTGCATTTGTGGAGTCTGGATTGGTCCCCTGTTGGTCTCTCAGCCATCAGTTTGGGGTTCAAGAGTTCCCCCTTATCCAGCCAGCTGTCTTTGTGTCACATAAACTTTTTATGCCATTTAGCTTGTTTCTTTATGTTTTGAATGAGGAACTGGGGAGAAGTCTCAGTGGTTAAGAGTACTTGTTCTTGTAGAGGAACATAGTTTGGTTCCCAGCAGTCATGTGGTGTCTCACAACCATTCCTAACTCGAGGTCCAGGAGATCTAATGCCCTCTTCTGAATCCCTTCAGTACCAAGCATGCACATGGTGCACATACATACATGCAGAAAAAATGTCCATCTACACAGATCTAATTTTAAAATAAAATAAAATTTTGAATGGGGGCTGGAGATGGTCCAGTGGTTAAGAGTATTCATTGTTCTTCCAAAGGACCCAAGTTTAGTTCTAAGCACCCACATCAGGCAACCCACAAACATCTCTAACTTCAGCTCCAGGTGAATGTGATGCCTCTGATCTCTCTGGACACCTTCACACACACACACACACATACCCACCCATACAGACAAATACCCATGAATAATTTAAAGTAATAAAAATAAGTTTTCAAAACTAAAAATTTGAATGAGTAATATTTTCCCAAAGCTTTGTCTTATATATTTTTATTTTTCTGGAACTCATCAGGTAACTGAAAATGACCTTGAACTTATGAGCCTCCTGCCTTCACCTTCAAGTTCTAGGATTATAGGCATGCACCACCATGCCTCGTTTATTCTGTGCTGGGAACCAAACCCAGAGCTTCATGTGCACGAGGTAAGCACTCTACCAACTGAGCTACAGCTTCAAGCCACACCCATCGTCCCCACCACACTTGAGACACAGGAGTCTCGGCATGTGGCACAGGCTAGAGCTTGCAGTCCTCTTGTCTCTGCCTCCCTAGCGCTGAGATTTCCCGCCATGTACTGCCACACCTGGCAACAGTGTGTTTTAAAGATCTACCCAAATCAGTATATTGGGGGCATGTAGGGATCCACTGTAGAGCTGCATCATCACGCATTTAACTGTACTGATGGACATTTTTTCTAATACAAACAATGCTGTGATGAGAAACTGTATGCATACTTTTTGTTCAAGTGCCAATTCATACAGAAAAACTTCATGACAGACACAGTCCTGTGTCTGTCCACTGAATTGAAAATCATTTCCCCCAGTTTGTCATGTGTCTTGAGACCTTACTCAGGGTTTGTAGCATTTATTCTCCCTGGTGTCTTCGTCACTGTTCTATTGCTGTGAAGACACACCATGATCAAGCCAACTCTTAGAAAAGAAAGCATTTAATAGAGGGCTTATTTACATTTTCAGTAGTTTAGTCCATTATCATCATGGCAGCACACCTGTCTATAGAGTAGTAGCTGAGAGCTACATCTTTGTCCACAGGCCAAGAGAGAAAGCAACTAAGTCTGACATATTCTTTTGAAAACCTCAAAGCCCACCCTTGGTGACACCCTTCCTTCCACAAGGCCACACCTACTTCAACAAGGCCACATCTCTTAGTCCTTTCAAATAGTTTCACTTCCTGATGACTAAGCGTCCAAATATATGACCTTATGGGGGCCATTCCCTTCAACCCGTATCTAGTTTACATTTCTCAATTTGTTCTTTTATAATTTCAGGAATTTGAGTCATAATCAGAAATGTCTTTGTACTCCAGAATGTCTGATCCCTTATGCTCTTGGAGTCTTACAGCACTGGGCATTGAATCCAGAGCTTCATACATGTTAGACAATCACTTCTTTCCCCATGTTTTCTTAATACCCTTTCATGCCTTTTTACATATATAGTTATAATAGTTGGGTATTATATTATTATAAATATTTCTTCCAAGGAGTATACTTGTAGTTGCACTTAAAAAACAAACAACAACAACAAAAAAACCAACCAGGGTCTCATGTAGCTCAGGCTGCTCTTGAACACACACAACTTAGCTAAGAATGATCTTGAATTTCTGACCCTCCTGTCTGTGCCTCCCAAGTGTGAGAATGAAAAGGATACTTGAATTTTTTCTCAAACCTGGGGATGTGTGAATACATGGTATGGTGGCACAAATCTGTCATTCTAGGTGCTTACAATACCAAGTCAGAAAGATCTCAAGTTCAAGGCCAGCCTGGTCAACTTAGAGAAACTCTGTCTCAAAACAAACAAACAAACAAACAAGCCATAATACTGTCATCTCTGCCCTCACTTATGTGTGTCTATTTCATATGTGGTCTCTTTCATTTCACTATTTTGCTTACTTATTGTTTTGGGGGTTTCTTATTATTGTTCTTTGCTGTGTATTCTAGATTCTTCATGCTTCTACCTTCTTCTTTTTTTATTTTTCAAGACAGAGTTTCTCTGTGTAGCCTTGGCTATCCTGGAACTCGCTCTGTAGACCAGGCTGGACTCAAACTCAGAGATTCACTTGCCCCTGTCTCCCGAGTGCTGGCATTAAAGATGTGTGCCACTACAACCTGGCTTGTTTTTATCTTATATAATGATTTGGAAAGCAGAAATCAAGTTTGTAATTACACAAATCTTCAGATTAGTCAAGCACATATATTGAACTTCCTATTATCAAATTGCCAAGGCAATACCTCTGTGTCAGCTGCTTTCCAAAAATCTATTCTTGCCCAGCTTCAGATGAGGAAACTAGAACTAATTAAGTCGCTTGAAACCCAGAAGATCTGCAGATTGCCCTCTGGATGGGGAGAAGTTTTGCAGGCTTAAATTAAGCCAGTCAGGGCCAGTGGGAGTGGAGAAAAATCTCAGGGAGACAAGGAGGGGTGAATTTCTCAAAGTAGAGTCCCCAGGGCCTTGAAGCTCTTGATACTAACCCTGGGAGCGTTGCCAATCTGATATGTGCAAAATCCTGTCTCCCTGGAGCTGTGGTTTCACTGCTCTTGGAGTGAGCCCCAGCATCTTTTCATACCTTTGGGGGCCATTCTCATTCCCATATCTGTGAGCAGCCCGTTCATATTCTGTTTTCCTCTTGGGAAGTCCCAGCAAATAACCACATCAAAGCTCCCTGGACTGTTTGCTTGCAGAATGACAAATGATTCTGAGGGGTTTATTTTGTCTCTTATAAAGTCATTTCCTGGATAATGAGCTTTTCATCGGAAACTTCAGAACGATTTTCTTCTTCCTTGTGCTGTGAGATCTTTTCCAAGTCCCCATTGTAATTTTTGTTCACCCTTTCTTGATCAGGAGGAAATAAAGCTCCACCAGGCCCCACCTCCTGACCCTCTCAACTCTGTGCTGTGTTGCTTAATAACGGTCGATGTCTCAATTCCACCATTAGACAGTGTAGACATAGAAAGAGAGAGGCTGATGGGGTAGATTAGAGGAATTGCCGTCATCACTAGCATCATAATAGCTGCCACTTAAGCAGCCCTGTGTGTGAATTCACTCATTAATAATATGTATGCAAATTGTATACTCCAAATATATATGAACTACATTTACATACATAACAAACTTGCAAGATAGGTACTATTATGATCCCCATGTGACAGATGACAAAGTGAGACATAGAGAGGTTATGTAATTTGTCTAAGATCACACAGCTAATAACTGATTGAGTTAGAATTCTATGGTATCTGGCCTCAGACTCCACAGTCTTTTCCTCTCTGACTGACTTGAAGATCAATCTATGTATTAATGTCTGGTCAAAAGCCTGTGTGTTCAGCACTGCTGTGGGGTCCCTGGGACGGAAGTATGCACTGACAATAGACCTGTTTTCTCTACTACAGGACTGCTGGTTGTCTTCTCCGTAATTCACTTCGCCCTCTGATTCTTTCCCTCAACAAGTATCAGTTGAGTGGTTACGTGGGACATGCCCTACCCTAGGTCTCTGGGATGCCAAGATGAACTAGGTATGGCCCTGGTCCTTTAAGTACCTGAAGTACAGCGGGGTGGGAGAAAAGACCCAGCGTGACACAGGGAGAGCAGGTAGTGAGTTCTCCCCATCTGTGTCTAGTCAGCAATTTCCTCCTCGTAAAATTTGCCCTGGGCTCTTCTCTTATCTCCGTTTATGTGACACCACTGCAACCTTTTGTGTTTTTTCCTGTCTTCCTTCACTTCTCCACTGGGTATCCAGGTTGGGGCTGATAAACAGTGCATTTGTCCTCCTTGGTGAGAGGCAGGGAGCCTGAGGAGGAAGGCCTCTGCGAGACAGGTGGGCCCTTCAGGATGAACGCTCTGGCTGAAGTGTGGAGTTAAGTGGGATGGAAGTGATGTGGAAGGTTGCCCAGTCGGACTGCTCAGTAGTCCAGGTAGAATGTGGGAGCTGATGAAGACTGCCACGAAGGAAGAAGACAACTATGGATGCTAAGGATGCGGAATTGAAGGGTTTACTAGTGCCAGCAATACTGGATGAGCATCTCAGTACCAGGCGCTGTGCCAACTGATGGAAATTCATCAGTCTCCCCCTTCTCTCAGTCTGGAGGGGAGGAAGGGCAGCCAGAGCCACAGAAGATAACAGAAGATGTGACAGAAGTTCAGGACACAGGAGGGTCCGTGAAGAACGAGGCCAGGCTGATGTTAGCTAATGTCTAGACTCCTGCCTTTGCTGCAGGTGTAGGCCTAAGCTGAGAACTCGGGAAGGCAGAACCCTGTATCTGTCTGCCTGGGTCCCCTAAAGCCAGGACAGGGCAGAATGGGGGGGATGGTGAGGGAGCAACTGCTAAACCAGTAACAGTCATTCAGCTGTGGCTCCCGCCCAGACCCCAGCTTGACCTTGAAAGAGGAAGATGGGGAGTGGTCCAGAAAAAAGTTTGCAACTTCTGGCGGCCCCGTGGTTACTCAATGCCCACAAATGGGTGGCTAAGACTTCCCAGTTACCTAATGGGCCCCAGGAAGCAGCTGCCATTCTCCTGACACCTTCCAACTGATGCTGACTGTCAGGGCTCAGTGTATTTGGACCCAGGCAGTGGGACACTCAATGACATTCTGGGGCCATGAATATGGGTCCCATGGATTGATAGAAGCCTTCTTGGTATTAGGAAGGGAAAAAAAAACACAAAACCAGCTCTGTAAAATATATGTGTATGTGTTCCCAGATGTAGGCCTGGCTCCTGCACTCTGCAGTATGTCTCCCTACTGTAGCATCCCTGCCCACTCTGGGACTGGATATAACTACTTCCATCCAAGGACAGGACTGGTCTTTACCCTTGGTATTCCCAGCACCTGACCCAGACAGCCAGAAAGTGTTTCAGTTTAGTTCAGAGACAGCTAGGTCCTGACTGCAAAGGGCTTGTCTTCCCACCTCCAGAGGTCCCCCGGGAGCTGCTCAAACACAAGACTCACTCTTGGCACCAGGTGAGGATGCTCGGAGTCCTAACACTGAGTGGATGTGCCCAGGCTTTAAAAGCATCTGGTTCTAGGAGTATGGAGGCACCAACTCAATCGTCCCTTCCCAGTCAGTATCTGGTAGTTTCAGACTCGGAGCATCTTCGACTCTAAGGGCTGGAGAGCCTCTCTGCAGTCATGCCATTCAGGCCCTGGTCACAAACGCTCTCAGCTATAGGAACTCCGCCAACCTTGGACCTGAGGTTCTGTGACTCCCATGAGGGTCTCTTTTCTCTGTCCCAGAGCGAAAAATAGCTCACCGGAGCCAGGGGAGAGGGTGGGGCAGGGACTCTGCCATGCCTGAGAGGTAAGAAGTCAGCAGGAGGTCACTTCCCTGAACCCACGGTTACAGTGTCATCATGGATTACTATTACCTAACCATCTGCGGGCCACAGCAAGGCCACTTACAAGAAGGAAGCTGCAGTGTTGTCAGCTCTTCCGAGACAGCGAGCCAAAGGTGGTAAGGACTCCTGCACACACAAGCTGCGGAACCTGCTACTAGATTTTTCTGAGCCTCAGGGCTTCTCCTTTCTTTTTCTCCCTTTCTTTTATCTGCCCCTCCCCCTTTTGAGACAGGGTCTTGTGTATCCCAGGCTGGCCGCAGACTTGAAAAGTATCTATGGATGATCTTGTGCTTTTGACCCTCCCTGGTGCTGGGATTTTAGGTAAAGACCAACACACTTTGTTTTATATGGTGCTGGGAGGTCTACTCCAGGCCTTCATGCCTGCCAGATACTCTACTGTCTCATTAGGGTTGCTGTGGCTGTGACGAAACATCACAGCCATATGCACCTTGAGGAGGAAAGGGTTTATTTGGCTTAGACTTCCATATGGACAGGAACTCAAGCAGGGCAGGAACCTGGAGGCAGGAGCTGATGCAGAGGCCACAGACAGGTGCTGTTTACTGGCTTGTTCCCTGTGGCTTGCTCAGCCGGCTTTCTTACCCAGGACCGCCAGCCCAGGGATGGCACCACCCACAATGGGCTGGGCCCTCCCCTGTCAATCACTAATTAAGAAAACATTCTACAGGATTGGCTACAGCCCAATCTTATGGAGACAATTTCTCAGTTGAGGTTACCTCTCCTCAGATGACTAGCTCCCCCTCCACCCCCGCCTTTTTCACTGTGTAGCACAGGCTATCCTGAAACTCACTATGTAGGTCTAGCTGTGGCCTCAAATTACTGGCAATCCTTTTGCCTTCATTTCCTGAATGAGGAGATTATAGGTGAGCCACTACACCAGGCTTTTCCTTTTCTTCTTCATTTTGTTCGTGGGTTTTGTTTGTTTTGTTTTTAGCTCAGGATCTCATGTGGCCTCGCTGAACTCAGACACCCTATGTAGCCAAGGATGACACTGACCTCCTGTTCCTTCTCCCTCTATCTCCCAGGTGGTGGGATTAAGGCCTGTGTCTCCATGCCTATTGGACCCATTTTTTTGTTTGTTTGGTTTTGTTCTGCTCACACAGTAAGTGGACAGAATGATTTTGTGCACAGGAAGGATTAGTCCAGTGCAGTCCCACAGAGGAGTTCAGCAAATATGCAGTCTTGTGTGTCCTCTGGAGACAGTGTGAGTCACACACACAGCCCATCTCATCTCCCCAGGACTCTATAAGTCTCCTGCAGGCTGATAGCCTGCAGCAGTCACACGGTGGTGGAGAGAGAACAGGCCTCTGAAACTTACAATTGCCCAACTGTGCAGGCGGCACCTGTCCTGTGGCTTCCCCTGGGTCTTTCTATGGGGGAGGGGGGTGACTCTCTCACTCCAGAACCTTTTCTTTGCAAAGCTCTTCAAGCAGGCTCTCCCGTGATTGCCAAAACTTCCCAGTGCCTGCTGGGAGCAGGACTGATGGTGTGATCCAGGAGAGAGCCGCACTGAAGGCAGAAGAGGGCTGAAGGAGCCACACGAAAGGGCCGGTGCCCAGCCAGAAGCGGCCAGGCAGGCTTCCGGCAACCCGCAGGTCATGCGGTTCAGGCAGTTTACAAGGAGTACTGTGTTGCTCTTATCTGACTGTTGAAAGAACTCTTGAAAAGTATAAACTAGAAATTAAAATTTCCACTGTTCTGATTTTTTTGGGTAAACAAGGCTAGGGTTGTTGTGGGACGGAGAATGTGGCTCAGTAGGCAGGGTGCTTTAGGAGCATGCAGACATGCTGGCACACTCCTGGAATCCCAGCCCCAGGGAGGTGGAGGACCAGGGGTTCAAGTCCATCCTTACCTACATGGTGAGTTTAATGACAGCATAGCCCTCTTGCCTAAGAGTTTATTACAAGCTGGGTGGTGGGGCCGCTCACCTTTAATTCCAGTCCTCAGGAGGCAGAGGCAGGCAGATCTCTGAGAGTTTGAGACCAGCCTGGTCTACAAGAGCTAGTTCCAGGATATCCTCTACATCACAGAGAAACCCTGTCTTGAACCCCCCCGAATAAAAGAGTTTATTACATAAATAAAAATGAAAAATCAGCCGGGCGTTGGTGGCACACGCCTTTAATCCCAGCACTTGGGAGGCAGAGGCAGGTGGATCTCTGTAAATTTGAGACCAGCCTGGACTACCAAGCGAGATCCAGGACAGCCTCCAAAGCCACAGAGAAACCCTGTCTCGAAAAAAAAAAATCAAGGCCAGGTGTGGATGTAAACTTTATCTCAGTACTCAGGAGACACAGGCAGGCAGATCTCTCTGAGTTGGAGGTCAGCCTGGTATATATAGTGAATTCCAGACCAGTCAGGGCTACATATTCCTGCATTTTACTCAACAATTAAATTTTAATTATATTCTATCCAGCCTGTCATTATCTTACAAGCCCTTACCTGTGTGGAGATTCAGCTGCCTCTTCTCAGGAAAGAAGTGGAGGGGAGAGGGTGAAGGTGAGACAAAGCTAACCCCCAAAGGGCTAGAGAGTTGACCAAGAGACTAAGAGCACTGGCTGTACTTCCAGAGGACCTAGGTTCCCAGCATCCACATGGTGGCACATAGCCAACTGGAACTCCAACTCCAGGGGTCTGATGACCTCCTCTGACATCCTTGGGCACCAGACATACATGGTGCACACAAATACGTGTGGGCAAACTACTCATACACATAGATAAAATAAATAAATCTTTTAAAAATAACCTCAACTACATTTATCTTTCTACACCTCTCCTCCTACCAATCATGTTTCTCAGCACTGAAAAGCCACACACATGCAAGTCAGCTACCTCTCAGTGTCACTTAAGCACCCTGATGTCCTTTTGAGTCTTTTTCCTACTCAATCCGCACACTCAGACTCATGGTGACAGCTGAGTCCTGGTTGGGGAAATCCTGTCTTCAGGACCAGCCCTATGGATCCTGGACTGCAGAGACCCTGCCTACTGGTCACGAGATGTGGTTTCCAGGCCTCTGTAGCACGCTCATTTTCTCTTCACTTAGAGTGGACTCTGGATGTCAGAGAGGTCCCGGAGATCCAGGGGCATGTGGTGCAGTGAGGAACACCGGCTTGGGGGAGACCTCTCTCTCCATCTCACCTGCAATACCTCAGGGCAGCCCCACACTGGCTCCCTGCCTGCTCAGTTTGAACCCTGGGCTCCTCTTGGCATTATTTGTAGTTAAGTCAGCTGGGAAAGCTTCACTGTTAACTTGACTGGGTTTAGAATCACACGCCTCTGGGTGTGACCATCTTCGAGGGATCGTCCAGAGAGCTTTAACTGGAGAAGGCCAAGCCTGAATATCAGTGGCACCGTCCCATGGTTCGAGGCCCAGAGTGGAGAAGCCGAGCAGAGCCCAACATTGCTTGCTCCCTGACTGTGCACACCATGTAACCAATTTCCTCGTAACTCTGTAACTTTCCCTCTAGGGTGGGCTGCACCCTCAAACTGTAGCCAAAACAAGCCTTTCTTTCCTTGACTTGCTTCTGCAGGGTGTTTGGTCACAGCAAGAGTGATAGATACACCAGTTGCCTCCTCGCCTGTGCTTGGAGAACTTTCTAAAGAAACTATACACAAGACTCAATTTGATGTTTTGCCCACTTTATAGATATTTGCATCTGGCCCTCTTTACATGTTTGCATCGTGAGTCTTAACTTTCTTTCCTGATTTCTTGTCACTTGTGACCTTGATATGTGTGCACCGCGTCTTTATCAGTCCTATTGACAGATGTCAACATGAACTTGATCTGGGGCAGAACTCCCTCTGGCAGGACTAGGTTCCGTGCTCAATGACGGGAGTGTAATAAGTTTCTGGAGCAACAGCCCCATCTTTAAGAACCCGATCACGCATTACTAGCCTTCTAAAGAGCTGAAACCAGATCCTTAAGCAAATACTCTTACAGGAATGTTCACAGCAGCACTATTGACATAGCCCAAGGATTGAGAGAACCCAAATGTTCCTCAATGAGTGGATAAACAAAATGTGGTGCATATAAAATGAATGGTAGCCATCAGCAAGAACGAACAGGTACATGCCACCTCATGGATGACCCTCAAAAGCATTACACTACCTGAAAGGAGCCAGACCTGCCCCCCAAAAAACAGGTCTCATTACAAAACCTCCACTTATAGGAAATATCCAGAATAATCCATAGAGAGAGAAAAAAAATTGGTGGCTGCCAAGGGCTGAGAGAAAGAAGATACAGGAGGGACTGTTGGTGGGTTTGGAGTTCTTCATGATGGTGAAAATGAGTCCCGGAGAGATGGCTCAGAAGTTAAGAACACTGGTTGCTCTTCCAGAAGATGTAGGTTTCCAGACCGACACCATGACTACAACCACAGGGGATTCAACACCGTCTTTTGACCTCCACAGGCACCATGCAGGCAGGTACATAGACATACAAGCAGGTAAAACACTCATGTGTATAAAATAGAAATCAATACTCTTAAAAATATTTTGTAACTAAACAGAGACAGCGGTTGTACAATGTTTGTGTCTGTGTGTAGAAAATGCCTCTGAACTATGTACTTCAAGTTTCATGTCGTGTGGGTGCCACCTCTAGAAATAATATATTTGCATCCGGGTATGCTGGTGCATGCCTTTAGTCTCAGTATTTGGGGGGCAGAAGCAGGAGGATCTCTGTGAGTTCTAGGCTAGCTTGGTCTACAAGCGAGTTCCAGGACAGGCTCGGAAGCTACAGAGAAACCCTGTCTTGAAAAACAAAACAAAGAAGAAGGAAAAGGAGAAGGAGAAGAAGAAGAAGAAATGAAATCTTACAGCAGATAGCCTGCTCTACTGGGGATATCGTTGCAAAATCCTTTCTCTGCCAAAATTAGTCCAAAACTTTAAAAGCTGTGTTGGGGCAGCTAAACCTGGAATGCAAATGCTGCCTTTTGAGATTCACTTTTTGTGGGTTCTCCCACTAGTTATTATTAGCACCCCTGTGCACCAGCACTACTCTGGCCTACATCATTTTAGTAAGCCTGCCCCCTTTCTGAGATGGCTTCCAGCAGCTGAAGCAAGCTTTGAATTTACTATGCAACCCAGGATGACCTTGAACCTCTGCTCCTCCTGTCCCCACCTCATAGGTGCTGGTTTAAGAGGCATTACCCATTTGAATTCAGAACTGGAGATCAAACCAGGGACTTTCATGGGTGCTGGCAAGATCCGAACAACTGAGCTGTGTCTCCCACTCCCTTCCCCTCCCCCACTCCCTACTCCCACCACAGCACTCCAAACCCCTTTTGGTTCCTTTTCTCTGAGGAAACCTGACAGTCTACCTCAGCCACATTGATAGCACGTGGCTTTGCTCTGATGCAATGAGGGTTACACTTTATCTCTCATCTTCCCCCTGAGAACACAGAAGTCTACTCATGAGAAATACCCGAGTTGAGCAACCATCTATAAGACTAATACTCAAATGTTCAAGTTAAGTTGAACATGGTGGTATACACCCATGATCCCAGTACTGGAAAGTCTGAGGCAGGAGGATGGCCATGAGTTCGAGGTCAGTATGGGATACAAAACAATACACAGTGTTTTTTTCTTGCTTTTCAGCCACTGTGTGTGTGCACATGTCCCCAGAAGAGAGTGTCAGATTCCCCGGAGCTGGAGTTGGAAGCAGCTGTGAGCTACCTGCTGTAGATGCTGGAATCCCAACTTGGGTCTTTCACAAGAATACAAAGTACTATTTGCTGCTGAGTAACCTCTCTAGTTTTCTTTTTTAAAAAATATTTATTTATTTGTCATGTATACAGTGTTCTGTTTGCATGTATCCCTGCGGGCCAGAAGAGGGCACCAGATTTTATTACAGATGGTAGTGAACCACCATGTGGTTGCTGGGAATTGAACTCAGGACCTCTGGAAGACCAGCTAGTGTTCTTAACCAGTGAGCCATCTCTCCAGCCTCTCTAGCTTTCTTAATAAACTTTTTTTACATTTATTTATTGTATATATTGGGGGTAGAATGCTTAAGCCAACGCGTTTGTGTGGAAATCAAAGGTCTATCTTTGGGAGTTGCATTTCTCTTTCCACCATGTGGGATCCATGAATCAAACTCAAGCCTGACATCAAACGCTGCTATCCCCTGAGCCCCCTCGCCAGCCCTGACTTGTTATTTTGAGGCAGAGCCTCTCATTGGGACTTGCCCATTCAATTTAGCTAGGCTAGCTGGCCAGCGAATCCCAGGTATTTGGTTGTCTTCAGATTCCCCATGCTGGGATTACAAGCACATGCTACCACCCCTAGATTTTTAATGTGAGCTCTGAAGATTGAATTTAGGTCCTCATGCTTTCAAGGCATACATGTCACTGATTGAGAGTCATCTCCCCAGCCCTCTTTTTGGTGGCTGCTCCTGATTGGGGGGTGGAGGGAGGTCATCCTGCACCTATGACAAGAGTATAGAGGCTTCTAAAGAAGATGGAAAAATCTTTGGAATTGATGAAATTGATGTGCCAACTTGTTATGCAAGGTGGAAAGTATGTGCTGGGCTACAGGCTGACTCTGATGATGGCCAGATGGGGCAAAGCACACTGGTCACCCTTCCCAACTGCCCCACTTCAAGATCAGAGAGAGTATCATGTTATATTGCCCAGTACTGGTGCTCATCACTATGGTGGCAGTCAACCTGAACTGGGTATAAGATGATTATGTTATCACCAGAAGCAAAGCAGAACAGACTGGTGCAAATTTTTTCTTTATATCAAAATAGATGGAGCTTGTTTTCAAAACACAAAATGAAACTGTCAATGTTATAAAAAAAAAAAAACAAGGGAAGTTCATCCAACTATCTAAATCATTAGAAAGGTAAGCAGAGGTAAAGACAAAATGTAACGTGGTGTGCTGGATAGGATCTGGGACACAAAAAGAAGACATTGGGTAAAAACAGGCCACTCCTGGCTAGTTGTGGTAGCTATTAAGAGATTGAAGTAGCTGGATGATGGTGGAGCACGCCTTTAATCCCGGTACTCAGGAGGCAGAGGCAGGTGGATCTCTGTGAGTACCAGGTCAGCCTGGTCAATAAAGTGAGTTTCAGGTCAGACTCCAAAGCTGCAGAGAAACCCTGTCTTGAAAAACTAAATAAGTAAACAAATAAATGAATATTCTTGATACTGACTTTGTTATTTTTCTGTAACTGTTAAAACTATTGCAGGCAGATCTCTTGAGTTCGAGAGGCCAGCATGGTCTACAGAGCAAGCTCCAGGACATCCAGGGCTACACAGAGAAACCCTGTCCCCCAAAAAACAAAATCCAAACAAACAAAGAAGGCATGATTCACTATTATTTTAAAAGGGTGGTGAGATGGTTTAGCGAGTAAAAGATACTTTCTGCTAAGCCCGATGACCTGGCCAGGGAGAGGAGAGAACCAGCTCCTGCAAATTGTCCTACACACACACACACTCACGCACGCACGCACGCACACACGCACGCACGCACGCACACACACACATACACACACACGTGAGCATAAGAAAATAAATGTAATTAAAAACAAAACTAGACCTTTCGTTTGTTTGTTTTGTTTTTTTTTTTTTTTTTTTGAGACAGGGTTTCTCTGTGTAGCCCTGGCTGTCCTTGAACTTGCTTTGTAGACCAGGCTGGCCTCAAACTCACAGAGAAAACAAGACTTATATGTTTTAAAAGCTATTTAAATATTTTTACCTTAAGAATGAATGGCCTCCGTTGGAGACTACCTTATTAGTGAAGTTCTTGCATACCCTTACAAGGTCCTTGCTTCAAGTTTCAGATATTAGAGTGACAACTGTTTTTTAAAATGCATCCTTGAAATTTTCAAGAAATTAATTAAAATATTGTGCTTACTTTCATGTATTTGTTTGTTTGAGACTGGGTCTCACTGTAGCTGCCAAACTGTTTTAGAACTCATTCTGTAGATCAGGCTGGCCTTGAACTCACAGAAATACACCTCTGGCTCCCAAAATGCTGGGATTAAAGGTGTGCATCACCACATTTAACTATGTTATATTAAAATTTTAAAATGCATGCTTGCATGTTTTTAATTCCCAGCACCATCTGAAGCAAAAACAAACCATCTTCTCAAAAATTCTTAAACGGGGGCTGGAGAAATGGTTCCTCAGCACTGGCTTCTCTTCCAAAGGACCTGGGTTCAGTTTCCATCACCCACATGGTGACTGACATCTACCTCCACTTCAGGAGCTCAGCTACCCTATTCTGGCCTGTTGGGGAAGTCCTGTTATTTGCCTGTTATTTGTCAATAAAGTACTGTTGAGCCTATAGGAATCTAGATAGGTGGGGCTAGGAGTCCAGGAGGATTCTGGGAAGGAGAAACACAAGAGAGTTCGAGATATAACGCCATTGGGGTAGGAAGCCCAGAAACCTCTCCGGTAAGAGACATACTTAGATTAACAATTATGGGGTAATTACTTAAGTCAGAGCTAGCCAGTAAGAAACAAGCAAGGCCAACAGCTTCATAATTAATACAGCGTCTTGTGTGTTATTTGGGGACTACAACGTGGCAGAGCCCAGGCGACTGGCGGGTGATAAACCAAAGCGGCTGGCAAAGAAAAAGCTTCTCTTAACACTGGCCTACGCAGGCAAATCCCACACCCTTAAAAAATTAAGAATTCTTCAACAACCAAGCATCATGCCTTTAATCCCAGTACTCTGGTACATTTCCAATAGTTCAAGGCCAGCCTGGTCTTCAGAGTGAGGTCCAGGATAGGCTCCAAAGCCATAACAACACAGAGAAACCCTGTCTTGAAAAAAAAATACCATTCTCCAGGTGCTGACAGTCTCCATGAGAACTCATCCCCATTTTCAAGTCCCCAGATTGCCTCTTTAATAGACCCATGACTTGGGGGATCTCCCTGTGGAGGCTTTGTAGTACAGTGTAAGAGAGTCTGTGCAAGGCGATAGTATCATATTACTCTGCAGACCTTGTTTTCCTGATCACAAATCTTGTCCATGGGATGTCTGCCTGGAAGCTCAGTCTCCTTGCCGAAAGAGGTGTGGCCTCACCACAGATAGTTACAATCTAAGTCAACAGCAGAATGCTATCTCTTAATCCGGCATAATACCCATGTACCTTCCCGCCCACTAACCCTGGGGTCACTTCCTTCTCTAGTGTGCCAGCATTCCATCACTCATAAGTAGGGATCCCATGATGCTTTGGGCTGTACTTTCCTGAGACACAAATGTACGTCAAGTCTGAACAGTGGTGAAGGAAGAACGTTTGCAGGAGACAACTTCAATTTCCAATTCTGATTCTATTGCAGATTTTTTTCTTAGCCCCTATGGCCCTTGATTTCCATAACTGTAAAATAAGGGTGATAATGATGTTTATTTTAGATGAAGTTTGGAGGATTAGGTGAGATGATTAGTGTAACATGCTAAGAACATACCTGGTACAAAGTAATCATCCAAACGTGGTATGTGACTTACATGATCAGCTCCATTCTCCACGTGTGAACACTTCTGTAATATCTCTGACAGTAGCAGAGTAAACACAGTGGTGAATTCGGTGGTTCTCATGGATACAGTTCAGCCCCATATCCCCTTCTGAGCAGTTGGGGGGCCAGCCGGAAGATCTGAACCTTACTCATCCTAGCCCCCCCAACCTAAACCTGTTGTCCTTCTCTCCTCTCAAGTGTAATAAAGAAAAGATCAAGGCAAGAAATCTGCAAAATTCTGCCTCGTACACCTGCTGTGACTATCCCCATGGAGAAACACCACTTCCCGATCAAGGAAATGTCAGTAATACTACATAGTCATCAAGAGGCAAGATGACTCAGTGGTTAAGGGAACCCGATGCCAAACCTGACAACTGGGATCAATCTGGGAACTCACAGAGTAGACAGAGTCATTCTCTAGACTCCACACAAGTGCTGTGACAAATGTGTCACCCCCCCATACACACACACACACACACACACACACACTAAATGTTTAAAAAAAAAACCACATGAGAGCCAGGTGGTGGGGGTGCAGCCTTTAATTCCAGCACTTGTAAGGCAGAGGCAGTCAGATCTCTATGAGTTCAAGGCCAGTCTGATATACAGAGTGAGTTCCAAGACCACCAGGGATACCGGGAAAGACTGTCTCAAAAATAAAAACCAGCAAACAAAAAAAAGATCATTGTCAGATCACCAACAAAGCCCTGGTCACTTCACAGTGCCTTTAATTTGTAATTCATGAGGCAAGTATGACTTATGGAATATAGTTTGATGTTGAAATAAGGGATTTCCTCACATAATCTTAATTGAACCGTCTCAAGTCTTAACACACAGCTCTGCCCAGACCTGACCCAGCCATGAATCGTGCCTCCCTCCTTCTGCTGGGAGTCACGTCTTCTTTTGTTGCTGAGGTTTTGCTATTGTGAACTTTGCAAGGATGACTTCTAGAGGGCCATCTTGGGTTGAGTAAGAGAACAGACTTGGTAACCTGGGATGGCCCTCAGGCATGTCAAAGGTCTCAGCTTTGCCCATGACCTAAGAGCTGGCAATAACACTGGACCATGATCAGGAACACAGACATGTTCTATGAGGGGACAAGGACTTTAAATAGGCTTCAGGCTTCTGTCAGGGCTTTTGGATAGAGCTAATGAGAAATTCATATGCTCCAGGAAAGTGGCACCTGTCACCAAAGCCACAGTCCATCAGTGATGTAGAAGACAGAAATGAGAGAGAGAGAACTGACTAGATCCTGGATGAGGGGATAAGGGGCAGGTGG